CGACTGCCACTGCCACTGCTACTGCTACTGCTACTGCTACTGCTACAGCCACAGCTACAGCTACAGCTACTGCTGCTGCTGCTGCCGCTGCTGCTTCTGCTACCGCTACTGCTACTGCTGCTGTGACTACCACCGCGACGACGACGACGACGGCTACGACGACGACGAAGACGACTAGTACTAGTACTAGTACTACTACTACTACTACCACCACTACTACTAGTACTAGTACTAGTACTAGTACTACTACTACTACTACTACTACTACTACTACCGAATATTATTTCTAATAATGGCAATATAAAGAGTAGGAATACTGATGAACCGAATATGAACCTCTTGCTTTCTTTCCAGGGCTGGCTCTCCTTGCTCGCCGTTTTAGCCTGCGCCGGCGTGGCGCTGACCTACGCGCGGAGCTTCCACACCCTCCCAGACCGCTCGCAGAGGCAGTGCCGGGAGAAGGGAGCTCTTCTTGCAGTTTGTTTCATTTATTTCCAGAACTCTGCTGCTCGCCTCGAGATGTTTGACGGATCGGCTGTTGGAAAAGGTTGGAACAAGGCAGATCGCTGCCCGCATTTCCGAAATTATGACAAGTGCCAGCACCAGTGTCAGAAAGTGTGGAGTTTCAGTTCGCGGAAAGGATTAAGTACAGAAAGAAGCTCATACGGGGCAAATGGTCTTGTGCACAGGCCATTCGACAGTTCATGAGCTTCATGGATTTGACATGGATTTTCTGTTGGATCAGGCTGTTCTCTGGACTCCCCAGGCCTTAGTCACCAGTCAAAGTCATCATGAATTGCAGTTCGTAGTTGACGGAGAAGGGCATCTATCCAGTTTGAAACAGAGCACTCCTTCCCTGAGCAGGATAACCTTCGTGCACGGGTCGCTGGCCTTCCGAGCAGGGGCTACTGTGGAGTTCTTGCTGCAGATCGCATGGCTTTGGGCTGCTGCAGGCTTTCTGGCAGCCATGGGCCATCCGCCTTTGAAACCTCGCCTCTGCACTTCAACAGGCCTCCGCTGCGAAGAAGGTACCCGAGTACCTCGCTGGCGGCGTCGGACGCCGAGATCAGTCTTACCGTACCCACTCTCCAGAGAGCCAGGGCAGAAGGTTTTTTTTTTTTTTTTTCATGGCAGCCGTGGATCTGACTAAAAGGCTGGAGCTACTTTCTCCTGACGGCTCTCTGGATGCTCACCTGGTGGGGGCCAACCGATGAGCTCACGCCACGGTCTGAGAAGCCGGCGTGCAGCAGCTGCTAGTGTTTCTCTTATTGGGACGCTCACTCGCTCTCCCATTCTCGCGCTTACTACGCATGTTTCTCTTACATTCTCTTCTTCTTCTTGTTCCTCCGGGCAGTGTAGTAGTAGTAGTCGTCGTCGTCGTGGTAGTGGTAGTGGTATAGGTATAGTGGTAGTGGTAGTGGTAGTGGTAGTGGTAGTGGTAGTGGTAGTGGTAGTGGTAGTGGTGGTAGTGGTAGCAGCAGCAGCAGCAGTAGTGGTAGTAGCAGTAGTCGTCGTCGTCGTCGTCGTCGTCGTGGTGTTGTCTTCGGTGGCTGAGGCTTCCTCGCGCCTCCGACCATGCCATCGTTTTTGCAGGCTTGATGCTCGTAGCTTCGACTGTCTCGACTGTGCATGTGCTTGCGGAGGCTACTCCTCGCGCCTCATTCTTTTCTTTTATTGCATTACGCGAGCATGCAGGACTGACAAGGCATGGTCAATGAACACTGTAGCACTGCGATTCTGTGTGCAGGAAGTGCACTCGCCATTGTCATTGCTTTTGCGGCTGCTGCGCACTCTGTCGAGATGATTGGAGATGCTTGGAGAACCTGCCTTGCACACCAGGCTGGGCTCACGGACCCAGAAGTTCCGAAATACCCGATGAGCTTGAAAGCTCCAGGTCGAGCGCGTCTGCGGTACCTCCTCTACTACCTCTTGACCAGACCGCCCTTTCTGATCATCATGAACCTTCCGATAGGACACCGGGCTGTCCACTGTCCACCATCGCTCCTAGAAGCACTTCGCAGATCCCCAAAAAGGATATCCTCTGGCCTTCCTGGCCTCCTTCGCCCTGGTTCTGCGCTGCGGCCTCGTGCTGCTCGTCGCCATCGCCCTTCGCCCGGCCCCTGCAGCCACGCGGTCTCGATTTTGGTTGCAGACCATGTCTGACGCGATGCTATGTGATGCCGAAATGAGCCTAGGCGAAGGAACATGATGTTGAAATCGAGACGCGTGGCAAGTTTGACATCCTCCTGGCTCTCCGGCTTTGCGACTTCTCCATGGTCAAGGGCTTACAGCTTGCAGCCGCAGATGAGTTCGTATGGTTTGCCTGCCGAAGCCTCGTGTTAAAGCATCCAGCTGTTCGCAAGAGGAGACCTATCTTGGTTGTCCGTTTCCGGCGGTGGTCTACGTGACCGCTTGCGGTCATGCCCGATTGAATGGCGAATACCGCCAGGAGAGACGGGAGGGCTTGAATGCCTTTTCGTCAGTTTCGCTGAAAGTCAACAGGGCCTGAAGAGCAGCTATTCATGGAACGAACAGGAAGGGCGTGACAAAGATGATCATCCAGAATATGTCCAGACCTCCGGTGAGGTTCTTGTGCCCAGCATTTGCCCATTGCGCACGTGCGACGGATCTATTGCAGGCTCGCCTGCAGTTCTGCGATGGCACTTGGGAGGCACGGGGAGTCGGTGCTGTGTTCCTTCGCAGCAACCCCGAAGTACTTGGCAAAGGTTACTTGGACCCCCCGGAATGCCTCAGATCCGGATTTGAAGCTGCCCTGCTCCCAGCACAAGCGGTAACCTACGCGGGGCTTCGGAATCTGAGAGACCAAGGCGTGCATATGCAGAAGATGCGGCACGGTCGCCGGACCAGGCGCCGAAGATCCCGGGGTCCCAGAGCAGATCCCGTTGTTTAGACTAGATGCTGCATAAATTCATAAAGGTGGCGAGCCTGTGGTTCGAAGTCCATGGTGAGGACTGCGAGGGGCTCTGATAGCTCCGCGTACTGTCTCTGTAGCGGACTCATCTGCCAGGAGCACATAGCGAACACCAACATGCCGCTCGACGCATGAAAGATACGCCTGTTTCTACACTGTTAACCGTAAGCTGCATAGTGCGTATGAGTGCAATGGGCCGCGGCCCAAGGGCCACAACCATTGTATAGATTATGCAACAGAGCGCCCCTTGGAGCTCCGGACGCAGTGGCAGTGTCTGCAGCAGGATTGTGAAAATGCAGCCCTTGCTGTACTTCAGAAGACTGATAGAAGACTGTCGAACTGGGTTGTTGGCCTCCAAACCCAAGCCACATATGCTGACAGATGCGCGGCATATTGCGCCAGTCGTTTGGAGGTGCGTCGAGCTCGGCGACGAGCTCCACCGTAACGTCTGGTTCACGACGTCTGGCAGCTGCGATCAGCTTGATGTGCAGTGGCTGCTACTCGTATCCATTAAACCTGCCAAAGCCCTGGTTGAGGATTTATCGCCGTGCAGCTTTGTGTGATACCAGTCCCGACGACCTACCCAGGATCGCCGAGCATCGTGGGTGTCTTGCCGAGGAGGCAGCGGAGGCCATCGTGCTAATTGTTGGAATCAGGTAGCAAGCATTGATGCGCCGTGAAGAACTCTCTGAGGCTCAGGGGCCGCTGGATGAGGAGGCTCCTGCCAGCCCTGCAGACCCTTCCGCCAGCCTGGGCCCAGTCGGTTTGGTTGGGTGGAAGGGGAAGCGGCAAGGGCTGCGACTGAGGCACAGCTGCAGAGAGACCGGACGAAGTCGCTTTGGTTGTGGCCTTCCGCGGCACGAATAGCGTCGTGCTGACATGTTTCGTCTAGTCACCAGCGCAGTGCTTGCCCCGTCAACCCCAAAGCCCAAAGGAGCAGACGTCATGTCTGCCATCACCAGGTGACCAACGTGGCGACGGACGTGCGCATCTCATTGATGCCCCCTGGCTGGGAAGTCCAAGACATGTCCCATGGAGTACGCACCGCTTTAAGGCTTGCATTGATTCGAAAGCATCATCATCATCATCATTGCCATCCTCTTGTTTTGTGTTATCTTCTTAGCATCATCAGTATTACAGTCAGCACCATCATCCTCTCAAGTGTTCTTTACGTACTACATAGAGGCTTTGTCAATGTGATCTCTCTAAAGGAACGAAAGCCATCCGGTCATATCCGGTCAACCCCCACTTCCGGTCAAGCCAAACAGACCGCGTGCCGTTCCAAAGAGCATCTCGTAGATGCTATGTGGAGAGCTGCACCTTCTCGTCACCGAAGCGGAAGGTGTCTTTCATCACTGGGCAAGCAAAGTCTTGCCAATCGGTTTGGCTTTACATCCCAGGCCTTTGGCAGAGGAATCCAAGACGGGACCCTTTGGCTCTGCGCACGGCCAGCCACTTTGGCTATTTGTTGAAGAAGGTCCCTGAAAGTCTTGCAGGGCTTCGCAGGGCTTCATGGGTGTGAACTCAAGACCTGACGCGGCATCACTCAGAAAGATCGCACCGACAAGCGGTGCAATTTTTGAGCATCGCCGGTATTGTGCATTCCTCGCGACTTTGAGGCAACCAGTTTGTTTCGACCTCAAAGACAAGGTGCTTTCTCAAGTTTCTGGTGCGAAATTCTGCTGGAGAGTGGGCACCTCTCTTGGGGCAGGTGAAGGCCAGGCTCTCCAGCCAGGAGGAGATGCACGCGAGATCGACGAATCCTTTCTCGCCAACTCACGCACAAGCACAAGCCCGAGTGCTGTTGGTCGCAAGCAGACAGAAGTGTGTGCTGTAGCATGTGCTGAAGCTGCAGCCGCATGGAGCGTGTCGTTGCCAGCAGTCTTGCTTGGCCGTGGCCTCAGCGCAGCCCAGGCACCTCTGCGAAGTGGGCGCCAAGACAGTCGGGCTAGTGACTCTGCAGATGAACAAGATGCCGACTCGGACTCATGGCTGTCCGGCTGCTGCCGTGTAGTGGCCGGGTGTCTTGTCTTGACGAAAGGTGCGAAATTGTGCGAAACCTGTTTTCTTAAAAGGATTGGTTTTTTGTGAACTCAGGTGCTGCTCCCGGGTGTTTTTCCCGTTCCTTCCCTCGGACTTCGAAGACGACGATGAAGAGCTGAGCTTGGAAGCTCCTTGGCAGTTCTAATTTCTAAAGCCGAAGGGGGGGGTTTCGGCCGAGTCTTCTTCTGGCAGGCATTGGACAAAGTCCGTGTGCACAAGGGTTTCGCAGAGGCCTCGCACATCCCGGCTGACACAAGCCCTGCGATTTTCCCCAAACCGCAGGCCTACGGTGCCGTGCGCACGGATGTCCTCGCGCAGCTCAAGGAGCCATCGGAGCATGTCGCAGAGAGGATGATTCGGACCCGGTCATTGCTTTTCGTCGCAGGAACGATTGCGATATTGGCACGAGAAGGAGGTTCCCGTGCGAGTATATGCCACTCAGATGCACCTGAGTGCAGGGATGCGCTGGGAGGCACACGCAAGTTCAATACCAGGCAACAGGACATTCCCTTGGTGGTGCCATCGCCAACCTGTTCGCGCACCAGCCTTGGTGAGTGACAAGTGGAGGTGTTTCGAGGCATTGTTTTCCCAGGTTGGATCTCAGTGCAGCTCCCCAACATGACAGTGCAAGGCAAGGGTTTCCATGGGCCACCGCACCGATCTTGTTTTGACGCTCAACTTCCGGCAGGCGATTCCCTTTCAGAGACCCGGTTGAGGTCTACACCTTTGGCAGCCCACGTGCAGGCAAAACATCGTGCCACCTGTTTTTTCTTCATCCTGCCTTGATAGAGGCAATGCGTCTTTCCGGAGTCTTTACAACTCCCTGGTGCCACAGGCCGGACTGGCAGAGGGCTGTGTACTTCCCAGCAAGCCCTGTTTGCCTTTTGCCGAGACTTTCCGCATCGTGGGATCACGGGATATCGTGCCCACTCTTCCCCCAAGCATCGCTTACAGGCCACCGAGCTGTGAAGTGTGAGCTGCCCTTTACGCGCTTTCTTGCTCGCAAACTTCCCCCCGCCTTTTTCAGAGGCAGCTGGGTCGAGAAGTTTGGGTCGACGAGGCCGGCGACTCTCGGCTTCTCTGACTCGTCGCCGGTGACTGGTGTCATTCGGTGTCCCTGTTTTTTGGGCATGTTTTTTTCGGAAGGATCGGAAGAGAGAAGGACCTTGCAAATAAGGAGCTTACTTTTGTGATGTCTTGGGCTATGCGGCACATCCTTCCGGCGCGTGACAGTGAACCTAGGCTGCATGATGCTCCAGTCAGTCGTTTGTCAGTTGCCTGTGACCAAGATCTGGTATCATCCCTTGGTTTCGTACTACGCCCTCCTGAACCGCTCATACTTGCGCAAGGCAGGCCAGCACGATCCTCAGCTTATGATCCTTTGCCCACAGTATCCCGCAGTTGCAAACCTCTGCGTCCATAGAACAGGATGTTCTCATCCGCATTCCGCGGGGAGTCCATCGTGCGAGAGGCCGGGCTACGTGGGCTTTGTCCGTGCTCGGCTTCTGCCACCCAGGCCCTGGAAGGAAAGCTGAGCGCCAGTTAGCAGAAGATGGCTCAGGTGAGGCGCCTCACCCGAGCCCGAGCCGCCCTAGCCCTGTCCCTACCGTGCTCCAAGCGCCCAAGCAGTGCAAAGGGCAGAGCCAAGCTCGCCCTTGCGAGAGCTCTGCCCTGCCCCCTCTCGGGCCAAAGCTGCAAAGAGCAAAAAAAGAGAGGCTCCCAAATGGCTCTCCCCCTCCCCCTCTGGGCTCTTCACCCGGGTGATGAGTTGAGGTTTCGCAAGAGCCGAAGCGCCGACAAGACTCCAAGCTACCCTGCTCGGTAGCAGGACAACTAGGGTGCGATGAGGACGGAAGAAGGGCACCTGTTGCTATGTCCTGAGCCGCAGGATTTCAGGATGCACCTCCCACAAGCGATACGCTACCAGCTCAACGCTCGCAGTAGGCGAGGTCTTTCAGGGATGCTGAGAAAAAGGGCTCACACATTCTGGCCATTCAGCCTCGGCCGTCCTGCAGGTCTCCAGAAGATGGACAAAGAGCCAATCGATCTTCGCGACAGGGCTGCCGAGCTGGCTCCGTTGACTAGATCGCGAGCTAGGGGCATTCCCACTCGTGTTTTCAGAGGTCAGTGCATCTGTCTGCAGCCTGGGCACAAGTTGCAGTTCAGGTTCAGTAGGGTCGTTTTTAATCCGGATGTCGCCCCTGCAAGCCTGGCTCTCCTGCACTGCGCGTGCGGAGGAGACGGCGGCCCATGGTCTGGGTCGGCTGGCCAAGGCATGTGCCGGGAGTCCTTGGAGGTGCATTCTCCTGACCATCCTGGGATGCTTGCTCTGTGCCGTGGGCGTTCTGCGCTTCACTGCCGTGAGCGAAGCCCGTGAGCTTTGGGTGGATCAAGGTTCAAAGGCCATGAAGGACTTGGAGTGGACTGAGCAGCACTTCGCCAGCCGAGGCCGCATGAATCGTGTCCTGGTCACTTCGAAGGATGGTGGCAACATTCTGCGACTGGAGACGATGGCCGAGATTTTCCGACTTGCGGATGATGTGAAAGCACTTTCTGATGTTGATGGGACATCTTTCGCCGATTTGTGCCTGCGGGTGACCTCCGGTTGCTTGAATCCTGGGGTCCGCCGATATTTTGGGACCGGTACCACAGCCGACTTCAATCAGACAGTCACGACTCAAGCCGACATCCTGGTTGCTGTGAACAAGGCCAACTTCCCCGACGGTGCTCCAGCATTCGCCGACGACTCACTGGGTGGAATTGAACGCGATGGCAACGGCAGCATCACGAGTGCCACTGCTGCGCGTGTCGACTTCATCTTGAGCGCCGACAGCGAGGACGCGATGACGAAATGGGAGCAGGCTCTGGTGGAGCATTTCACCAAGGACCAGCTCTCCAATCAAGGCTATGAGCATGTGGATGCCTTTGTGCAGGCGCAGCGCTCCCAGGACGACGAGCTGAACAGAACTGTTCGAGCGGACATTCCACTTTTTGCCGTAGCCTTCGTGCTGATGGCCACATTCTGCTCGGTTTTCCTCGGTAAGACAGCATCATGGACACAGAGCAGAAGGCTGCTGGGAGCGGTCGAGTTCTATCTGGTACTCTTCGGGTGCATCGCTGGTTACGGCACCTCCATGCTGATCGGAATTCCATTCACAGTGCTGCAGCAGATCCTCCCTTTCATTCTCGTGGGCATTGGCATCGACGATGCCTTTGTCATCTCCGGGGCATTCGATGCGATCGACCCATCCCTGAGCATCCCTGACCGGATCGAGAAAGCTATGCAGCGCGTGGGAGTCTCCATCACATTGACGAAGGTGACCTCCATCTCCTCTTTCCTGCTGGGTGCAACCGGCATCTTCCCTTCGGTGCAGTACTTCTGTGTCTATGCCGCCATCTCCTGCTTCTACATTTGGCTTCTGCACTGCACTACCTTCTGTGCCCTGCTCGCCCTTGATGCAAGGCGTGCCGAAGCAGACCCCCCTCGCCTGGACCCTTGCTTCTGTGTTGCGGCCGGTCCATCATGTATGCCCAGCAAGACGAACTCGCAGGGCACGTCGATTCTTGAGACGGCCCTCGTGGCCATGATCAAGTTCCTGACCAGCCACCCAGCCATCTCGTTCACCACCATAATCCTTTTCCTCGTGGTAGCTGGAGTGTCTGCCTGGCAGGTGAGCCTGGGCCTCAGTACCGACTTTGACATCATGGACCTTTCGCCGGACCAGAGCTTCCTGCGAGATTTCTACAACATGGAAAACCTCCACTTCGGCGGCCTCTCCACAGGCGGCTTGGCCTTGCCAACCGCCTTTTACGTCGCAGACAAGGACTTCAGCTCCTTGGCAGTGCAGCGCCATCTGGAAGAGGCCGGGGCCGGGTTGATGACTCTCAGCAACATCAACTCTGTCCGGGGCCTTCAATCATGGCACACCATCTTTACAGTTTGGGCAGTGCAGAACAAGGGCGTCCTTGCTTCCTTGCCTGACAGTGCCTTTACGGCAGTCGAGACCAACCGTAGCGGCTGCGAGGCCGGCTTGCCCTCCGGTGTCACAACCTGCATCAGCCACCTGGTCACAGGCAGCAGCTTCTTGACCGCACTTCAGGAGTTCCTCGCAACGCCTCGGGGTAGGGCCTTCGAAGATGATGTGGTGATCCAGAACGGACAGATCAAAGTGATTCGGCTCCGGGCGAATCATATCGACACGTTCAACAGCAAGCAGCAGATTGCCTTGCTCGAAGAAATGGAGGCCTTCACAGAGCAGTGGCAAAGCGCACTACCTGGAAGCTTCATGAGCTCGCAGGTGTATATATTCTTTGACCAGTACCGTATTATTGTGCAGCAGATGACAATTAGTATCGGGCTCTGTTTGGGGGCAGTGCTGCTCATTAGCGCCCTCGTCTTGGCCCATCCTCTTTCTGTTCTGGTCGTACTTCTGGTCCTGGCGCTGGTCTTCATGGACCTAATGGGCAACATCGTGCTGTGGTCCCTGGCTCTAAACTCCATCTCTATGATAAACCTTATCATGGCCGTCGGACTGGTGGTGGATTACTCCATGCACATGGCCCACAGCTTCGGGCTCCAAGACGGATCTTTGCCAGGGCCCAAACGGGCCGAGCTGGCCATGAAGGAAATGGGACAACCCATCTTCTTGGGAGTCTCCACCACCTTCTTGGCCATCTTGCCTCTGGCCTTCTCGTCGAGCCAGGCCTTCCGCGTCTTCTTTCAGATGTTCTTTGGGATTGTGGTGGCGGGGGGTTCGCACGGGCTGATCTTCCTCCCTGTCTGCATGTCCGTGCTGAGTCCCAAGAACAAGACCACCGGCGTGCTGGAGATGTCGAACCTGGATGTTGAAGCGACCGGCGACAAACTGGGTAAAGGCATACAGGACACAGAGTAGTTCTGCTCCTCATAAGTTTTTGCTTTGATAACGCAATAGCTTGTTGACAGTTCCTCGCCAAGCGGGCGCTGATTTTCCGACGAGCTCTGAGATTTCATCTGCTCTCGACCTCTCGGCCTTGTTTCTCTAGATAAGACTCTCAGCAGTCTGAACACCTTTGGACTCCTTTCTAGAGATTCTGTGAGCAGGTTGGATAAAGGCCGACTTATGGGTACAACCTGAGGTCGCTGCAGGAAGTCTTAGTCTTGCTGGTAGAAGTTAGGGCTGAAAGTGTTTTATGTGTTTTGATGCGTTTCCTTCTGCTGCTAAAGGCAGCAGTCGGCCTGGGCCTCGGCTTCCGGGCCTCTTTGACTCACATTGGATAGAAAAGGGCTCAAAGCTGCGATGCCACACAGAGAAGAGGGCTATGTGCAATCGCTGCAAAGCGACAGTCCCGACAGTCCCGACAGGCCCGTTTGGCTGCTTCGACTGCATCGCTGGGTGCTCTTACCTGTTTAGCTTGCTTCAGGGGGTTCGAGTGCTGCAAGTAGGGACAGCCTGCATGCAGTCTGTTCTACATGAGCCAGGCAGAGATTGCATGTGTGGTGCCCCATGGCCGTTCTGATCTGCCTCTCCGTGGTCTGTGCTGCCCTCATTCGCGGTGTTTGCTTAAGTCCGACAAAGATTGTCCCAAGAAGACTCTATAACTGTATGCTGACCCCTTTCCAAAGTTTGAGCGGCGACTGGTTCGGTCGAGAAGCTGCAAGACTTGCGCTGAGGCATTGGCATGTTCGAGGCCATGAGGCTTTCGACCCACGTGCTAAGCAGCCCCTGCACCATCGTCAGAACAGAGGCGGGATGCTGATTGAGTTGGCAATCAATGGAGCAGCTATGCTTGGCTCCAGTTCATGACGCATCCCTGGCAGATGACAGACGTGGGCACCTGCACTCTCTGCGACAACCTCGTGCCTTCAACATGTCAGGCACCGCTCCAGAGTGCAGACCATGGCAAACCGAGTCTTTCTTGATGCAGACTCGCGCAGATACATCCGATTACGACCGCACGGCTCTTTGTGACCTTCAAGCACCGTCACCTCGGCGAGAACATCACAGGTACGGTGTGGTGCGCCGGGCGGATGATCGCAGGAGTTCTAGGGGCCCGGTGGGGCATGTTTGCCGCCTGTGTGCGGGCCATGGCCGGCCGTGAAGACGCCTGAAGCAAGGTTTGCTAGCTTTTGCCGCTTCAGTTGGGAGAGGGGTAGGGGACGCCAAAGCGCCATTGCCGGTGACCCTGGAGCGAGTTGGGAACCAAGGGGCCTTTCAACCAGAGTCGCCAGACTTATGAGCATCAGCGAAGGTCCGGGTGTCGCCGTGCATGGCCTGGGCCCCCAAGAATCACCTGGCCCCTGTCAGCCTGTCAGCATCGAGGCTTCAAACCTGCTCAGCTCCACGGGTCTGATGTCCTTTCCGTACTGCGGGCCCACCGCCGCTGGGCTGGGGCGGTTCATCAATTTTTGTTGCTAGTCTTGCTCGCCGCTACGCTGCTCCTTCAGCGTCTCCAAGGCAGAACCCTGCCCAACTGGGGCCGTGGATGCGAAGGATACATGTTTAGATGCAAGCGAGTGAGCAAAGTCCATTTCCAGCTCTTAGTGCAGGATCTCGCCAAGTCCAAGACTGTCCCAAGAAGCGACAAAGAGTCCGAACCATTCAGCTGCCTGCCTTCTGTGTCTGCCGCGGCGGCAGCCATGGCAGTTGAGGACTACTAAGACTGTAGTGACTGTACCCTGAGTCCCCCTTTTCCTCTTTTAACGTGCCTGCTTGTGGCATCTTGCGACTGCTCCGACGAGGAAGTGCACCTCAGCTCCTTGTCCTGTGCCGAGCCTTTATCGCCAGAGGCGGTGGACAGAGGCGCGGTGTAGCTCAGCCGGGGGAAAGATGCGGAAAGAGCAGCCCTTTACATGATGTCCCAAGGCAGAGAAAGTACAACCTGTACTCAGATTTCGGCAGCCCACTCTGCCAGCTGCTCAGACACCACAGGGATTGCGTTTCAGCCAAAACAAGCAGGAATTTAAGCCAGCCGAGCTGTGGTCGCAAGGCGTGCGCCGTGCTTCCAAAAAGCGTGGGAGATGCAGCTTGCAATCTAACGAGCGGGGAGACGCGGCAGGGAAACTGCAACAGGAGGCTAGAATTAGCACTGCAGGGCTATGCAGGGCTAGCTCCATGAACCCAGAGCAACCCAATGCCACTGAAGCGTGACGCATGCTAGACTCAAAGGCGCGTCTGAAATGTCTCCAAGCTAAACGCGAAATGGCAGTTGTTGTAGACTCCTGTTCTTTATGAGTTCGAAAGAACTACTATTGAAGTGGGTACCTTAGAGGGGACCAGGATATCTCTTCGATACCCACAAGAGGAACCCCAGCCTCAAGAATCCACCAGAGGCAGATTGGGAAGCCTAAACCTGGCATCCGATGTCTGAGCTCGAACTCTTTGAGCCCGGGGTTCCATGCTAGCAAGATGTCCATCGCTTGAGCAAAACTGAGAAGACCGTCGTGGTGGTTTTGTGCGGGTGATCTGACTTCTCGATGAGAGGAGGCGAAAGGAAGGATAAGATCTTCCCAAGGACACCCTCAGCAAACAGGTTCTCGTCAACACGCAGTTGTGTCCCTCCGGGGAGCACAATGCTGGTTTTCTCTCTCCGTTTGATTGGGCATACCCAGGACTCGCCACGAAAGGAACGACAACACGTCAAGCGATGTGGTCTCACGACCTTTGGAGTAGCTGGCATGGGTCATGGCGTAGGCACATGCCAAGGATCCTAGGAAGCGGGTGCAACGTCCAGAGACAGCTGGGGTGTGAAGTCGCCTGATGTTTGTCAATACTTAGGCTGCTTGCAGAGTGGATGCCATGGAACCTGAGCACGAGGACACTGTCGTACTGCCAATTTGGAAGTGCTATCTCAAAATGAGCCTGCAGGCCTTGCCTGTAATCCTACTCCACCTTGTGCTGTCGAGTTGTGTTGTCGGTAGTGGAGTGCCCAAGCAGCAGGAGCTCTTCCTGGATGATGACGCAGAGTCACCGAAAAGTCCAAGCGCGACCCTTGCGCAGTTCTTGAACAGCGCGTGGCGGTCAGTCAAGGACAGGCTTTTACATTGTTGAATTGCCAGGGGCGCTCGTTCCGTGGCTGTTGTGTACAACTGGTGTTAGGAGATGCCTAGCGGCTATGGCAGCAACTTGATAGCATTCCAGATCTGTGCAGTCCGACACCAGCCAGTCTTTGGCGCAAAATCGTCATGCAGCTGACGGATTGAATTGAACTCAAGGCGGTTTGACGCTGCCACCCACTACCACGATTAGTGCAGACCTCGATGTTTTGCCCAGTCACAGCAGTCTGTGTATTGATGGCTCTCATTCATGTGTGGAGATGTTGGACCGGGGTCATAAGACTCCTCCGAGATACGACTGAAATCCCAGATCCTTCCAGTGATTTGCAATCCGTTGTATCCTCCGTAAACCCCATAACCTCTAAGCTCTCTACCCTGCTGAGGGGTTAGAGGGTATTAGGGTTTATAAGGGTTTAGGGGTTAAGGGTTATAGGGAACCAAACTCCCGAACCTAAATCCGGAGCAAGATTCATGGACACTTTGGTCTCGAGGCCACGGCCTTCAGGCTGGCTTCCTCGAGGAGCCGTGTGTGAAGGGCCGAGTTCTGGGTTTTAGATAGAAGAAGCAGAGATGTGCAGATTCTTGAGGGGCTTTTCTGGTATCCTTTAAGGCAGCTCGCAGCCTTGTCTAGTATCGGAGATTGCAAATCAGGTCCCTGCAGAAGTGGAAGTCGGAGCCGAAGAGATGCACCCAGCAGAGGACATCTAACTGTGTCGAGCTATTACTCCACTGGGTGAACGTCTGATTCCGCCTGGTTCTGGTGAAGGACCTTGTGGATGAGGCCGTGCTGGTCACAGAGAACGATGTGATTGTACCCTGGCAGGGCAGGGCAAGGGCAGGGGGGAACCCTTTTTCAGACTTCCTCCTTTGTCAACCCGGGCACAACAGGAATTTTAGGGTCCAGCCGAAGCTGTGGCATTTGTAGACTAGCATCCTTCGGCTCATGAGGCACAAGCTCCGTCCTTCGGGTTGGGTCAAAGCTCGATGCCCAGAGCACAGGCCTGGCAGTGAGCTTATTTTCTTGAACTCATGTGGGATGTTCACATGCACCACGAGTCTGTTCCCCAAGATGTAAGTGTATCAAGTCCTTGAAAAGTCTCCCTGGTTTTGAAACCCCCCTTCCAGGGTATCCCGGATCCCTTCATTCATTGAGGATTTGCAGGGTAAAACGTTAAATACGCTAGATTCAATCTCGCGGATACTCGGGCAGGCCCTCAGGTGCATACTAGCTCACGAGCATCATCTCACAAGACACTGCCGTGTTGTGATGCATGTCTTTCCACGCGATCCTTGATGCAAGATGTTGTAGTCGCTGCAGGGTTGTTCGGCAGTTTGTGCCGCGCTCGTGCCGAAGGATTTGGACGGCTTCGGCTTCGGCGTTGCCAGCGCGGTGCAAGCGCATGTGCCCTGAGTTTCGAGCTCCACAGTCCTACTGTACTCCTTGCTCAGATTTTGGCAGGTCGAGGACATCGTTGTAGATGATGCCCTGGCGGTGGATGAGGAGCCTGACATCGAGGATCAGGTCGATTGACGCCGGGTTGGAGAAAGCGGGACTTCTCTAGGGCCATCGAGGAGCACACAATCTGTATCGACAAAGGGGCCACGCAGTCTCCAGCCGAAAGACGAGTTGAAGAAGAGAACTGTCTACTCAGACCAAGGAGGGCTCCAAGAGGCTCTCTCTCTCCCCCTCTCTCCCTCTCTCTTTCTCTTTCATGAGAAAGCTGAAAGCCCAACTCTTTCATGAAAGTCTAGAAAGAGTTCATAGACTCCCTGGCTTTGCAGTTGCATGCGTTCATGGCAGTTCACCGCTCTGGCCCTGGCCACCGAGCACCTCCAGTGCCCTACTCAGACCTGGACGAGGGACCTGCCGGGGGGTCAGGGGGCGGTTCACGGGAGGTTCCTGTGGGATATAATACTATACTTATAATAATGAACCCCAAAACTGTATTTGTATTTATTTCCGCCCCCTATATTAGTCTTACAAGAGTTTCTGCTTTAAAGGATCCCTTTCCAGGGCCTGGCACCCTGGATCAGGTCCATCGAGTCGGAGCTCCAGGCGCACCGCGATCTCGTTGCCCGAGAAGCGGAGGCTCGAAGGGTTTCTCTGTTTCTCGGCTATTTTTTCCCAGGCTTTGGACTTTGGGTTCTCTGTGTCAGCTCTGCAGGCTGGGATTTTTGTTGACGTTGGCGAAATTTGAGTTTAGGGTTTAGGGCTGCCACTCCAAACGGTCGATCTCGATCAGACTCGTGTCGCGAATGCGGACTCGCTGCTACAGGAAGTTGAGTGAGATGATTCTATGATGCTCTTGCGGTTCTTACAGGCTTCTTGCCCAAACCTAGCCAGGGTCTTTTCACGGAGTGGTGGTCATAACACGCTCACGCAATAGTAGCTGTTTAGATTGGATGATGCCTCCAATTCTGCAGTCGGTCCACTGAAGGTTTTCAGGTTTCCGACGCCACGCCCCTCAAAGAGTCCCTAATCACCGTGGGCGAAGGCGAGACGTCGGCTTGAAGATGCCTTGGCCGCAGAGAGGCGGCGCGCCGAGGTCGAGGCGCAGGCGCCGCCCTGAAGTCGGGAGGATAATGTACTTTTTTTTCTATAATATATACCATTATATTTCTTTTATATCGACTATAATATAGACTATAATATATACTATAATATATACTATAATATACTATAATGTACTATAATATGGGCCAATGCCTGTAAAGCCTCTGGCTTTGGGACGTCGATACATTTCTCTGTGTCTTGATTTTGGTCGGGCATGGGGCCTGGAAGCTGAAACCTCTATCAGCCCATGTCAGTCCACGGTGCCTTTACACATTGGCACTGGTGCATACCGGAAGTGAAAAGCAAGAATTGCAACGAGGGCCGCCGACGTCTGGAGCAAGAGATCGAGGCTGCGGTTCTTTTTCATGATCTGGAGGGCTGCGTAAAGTAAGCTTTCAGGGTCGTATTCGAAGGTTGTCCCAAGGTCAGAGGCTTCTTTGGGGCTTCGACCTGTGTTGGCAGTGTCAGGACCCCCCCCCCCCATTTTGAAACTTGCACCGGGAAAGCCAGTTGGAGATTCCAGAGGCCGAAAAGCAGCGATTGGAAGACGAGCGACGCAGAAGACAGGAGGACTGCAATGGAGGTCTTGAAACCCCGGGGGGCTTGTGATAGGCCGACACTGCCCTCCTGAAACATTTCAGTTTCTTTTGTCACCTTTTGTATCCCCCAACATCTCCCTTCGACGACTAGGAGGCGGACATGGCGATTCGCCGGGAGGAGGAGCGCCGCTTGGAGGAGGAGCTGCTGGCTGCAAGGAGGCCCAGCAAAGCCGCTGTCTTTGTGGGTGGGCCTTTCAACTTTGAAACAGGAAGCAGAAGGCCCGACATGTGTGGTTGCTAGCTCGAAGTCGCATCTGACCGCGAGAAATCTCATGTGCAAATAAGATTTTTTAGCTGGCAGGGTCAGAGATAAACGAGTTTTCGTTTCTGACACTGGACCTACACATCATCCCAATACCTTGTCGTCTTCCTCGCGCAGATGTTCGATAGTGAAGCATGATCAGTGTGAGCATGGTCCTTGCGACTTCGGGCTGCCACTGTGTGTACTAAGAAGAGTTTGGAAGCCTCCCTTTCATCCCGAATCAGGCACTTCCGTCCCTAGGCCCTGAAGCCCCATCCCAGCCAACTCAACGCCCCAAGTAGAAAGGCATACGATGCTACAAGTCGGCGTGATGAGACAACTGCGCAGGGCAGGGATTACGGTAGATCGTGGAGTACTGTAATAGAACATAGCATGCATGAGCAAGGTATCTGGCAGAACAGGGGGTATTCTCAACTCAAGCGAACCTCGGTGAGCTTGGAGTTCAGACGTTTCTTCTCCGTTTCCTTTGGTCTCCCACGCCTGCCGTCGGCAGGCGAGCAGAAGAGGAAGCGCGGCTTGCAGAAGAGAGAGTTGAGGAGCCCTGACGGTGATTGAGAGTTGAGGGTGTCGAGTGTCGGACTTTCAGATTTCGATTCACAGGAGCAGCGGCGACAAGCTGAGAAGCGCAGACAGCTCCAGGCAGCGGCCTCAGCTTGCCCTTGAGCTCCTTCTTCCTGAGCTCATGTCGTGTCGCGTGAGGAAATGGAGCAGAAGGCGCGAGCATCTGCTGCAGAGGCCAAAATCTGCCGAGTGAACACTGTCGTGTCACCGCAGACAGGCCAATGAAACAAACAAGGTACATTGCATCGGTTGCCAGGCCAAACGAGAAAGAGAGCTCCGGGAAAAGGCGAAGGCCTTCCTGGCGGCTGAAGGCGTTTGGAAAGAATGCCTTGACAAAAGAAAATTCCGATGCTTTAGGATTTTCGTTTCTTGTGCCGAAGGATACCGACACGTGCGCGCAGCACACAAGTGGTCTCCTGTGGCGGCCTCAAGATGCCACCCGAAAAGAATTGACAGCCTTCTCTTCTGGCAGGTGGCCTCCTATCCGCTGCATAGGGCCGTGCAGTGCAACGACCCGGAGATGGTTAGGCGATGAGAAATCGCAAAGCAACTTGTCTGTGGGAAAGGCTCTTGGTCTGGCAGGCTTCTCCTCTGGATGGGAGCAGATGCCACCAAGTGCAATACCTTCGGGTGCCCCGGTAAAAACTCCTTGCCTATGCTTATTTCAGACGCAAGCGCTGGAAAGCTGAAGCTCTTCAGGCAGACCCCGATGGGGTTGGCCAAGTGGCTAAATCGACGTGAATCACACGCTGAGGCCCTTCCGGCACGAAGTCAACTTCCGAAGCCAGAGGGAGCTCCAACTGCCTTCTGCAGGTGGTGGCCGTGCTGCAAGCACAGCAAGCACAGTGAGCCTGGGGCTGGCACAGATTTGTACAGAAAAGCTATGAAAAGCTCATCTCACCCGGTTTTACAGTTGCAAAGAGACAGCTGAAGATGCCTTATTGGTTGCCACGGCGCAGCAAAGTGCAATGCAATTCAGTTGCCGAAGGTCTGCGCGCCAAATGAGCGATGCGGTGTAGGATTGTTCGTTTATGTGACACACAGTCCCGAAAGGGCCTGTTCAGTGAGCCTTCTGTAGAAATGTAGAGAACAGAAGGTGCCCAGCAAGCTCGAAGCGGCTGTGTAAAGTCGTAATTCATGCACGTCTCTTGAGTCGCGGCTTCTTTATTCACGCCTGACATCTTCGGTCTTCATTGATGCTAAAGATGCAAAATGGTTTACCGTGGAGCCGATGACGCGGGGCCTGAATCAGACGATGCTTGCGCAGCTTCGAGGTACTGCAAGAATCGAATGTCCGAGGCCGCAGCGACTTTGTGGAGCGACTGCTCCGAGTCGGTGTCGTATGCTTGTGCTGAGGACCCCTGCCTTCCACAGCTGGGGTGACGAGCTCAGCGGCTTGCGATTTCAAGCCCACGTCTCCACGCCTGTGCCGAGGTTCCTGGACCAGTTTGCGCTGGATCTGAAGAGCCAGCGAGCCAGGCAGCCACCCGGCGGCCCGATCCCCTGCACCACCGCAGACGTCTGTACCTCAGAGCCCGGCCCGGGCCTCAGAGCACAGAAAAGGCCCGTGTTCAGTGTCAGGTGCTGTCACACCTCCAGGAGCAGATGGAGCATGCGGACAAGGCCACCTGCGAACGCTTTAAACATGTACTGCAGGGAAGCCTCTTTTTGCAGTTGAGGGTAAATCGTGGATATCGTGGCCACTGTCGCAGCGCCAACCCTAGGTCGCTAGGTCGTGCAGGACTCGGCTGTCCTAGATGCACACATGCAGTGAGCATGTCGGGCTCCACAACTTCCATTCTGGCCCTGGTGACGGCGACGGCGTGAGCAGGCTTGACGATGACGAAGCTACCGGTATAGAACACGTGTTTTCGCTGACAAGTCTTCTTAACGAGAACCTCTCAGTTCCAAGGAGCTGCTCGGGCCTGTATGTCCCAGAGCGAATCGAGTTTTCGCTTTTCCCAACTGTCACCTCTCCTGAAAGTCCAAGAGAAGGGCAAGCTCCTTCGCGGCTTTCCTCTAAACAATGAGGTGTCGTGATCAGCATGGTTCGTATCCAACAGTCCATGCGGAAGACTGGCAAGGCTACCTGCTTCTACAGCTCCCGTGACGAGCGGGGTGAGGACTGGTAGCCATGCAGGGTTTCGAACAGACCAGCACTCGGGGGTTCAGGATTCAGAGAGCTCGGTGTGCCTTGCTTTCTCCCGAACCCTCGCGCATCGCAAGCAGCCGAAACGTGTCAAGCCATCTGCCAAGCCGAAATGGAAGGCAAATGACGTTTTGGGCTGTGACAGCAGGATGTGTGGCTTTCCATTCCGTCACCTGGGCTCGTGGACCACGCATGGCCAGTACCTCAAATTTGTGCAATCTTCTCAGCCGCATAGCTGCGAAGTCTGTGCAGTACGCTCGGGTGCATCGCCGGCTTGGCAGGTTTCAAAGCCACCTTGAGTACCCGGTGCTGATGGCCCTGGGCAGCTTGGTGCTGCTGACGCTTCTTCTCGGCTGCCTTGCCGTCGAGGCCGACGAGTGCGTCTCAAGAGGGGCACCCAAACAAGCCACAAGAAGGGATCGAGTGCAGCTGTTCTGTTATGGACCGTGCACGACGTTCGGGCAGGGGGCCGAGCTGTACTTTTCCGGCATCGTGTGAGATACAGCAGAAGAAAAGGAGGACAGGGAGTGTCGGCGAGCCATGCGGAGCCTCGCAGAGCCTGTTTTTACCACCTTGAGCACGTCTGCTTCCTTGACCCCTTCTTGCTCGCAGCTCGCTTTGAGCGACTTGTCTCACCACCTTGAGCCTCGTGAAATCCAAGGGGCATCGCACATCTCACAACAGACTCGGTCCCTAGGCCCTAAGAGCCCTAAGACCCTGGAAGCCTCGGCCGTGGGTGCTAAGCGACACTCATACCCCGAACGGCTCTGCAAGGGTCCCCACCCAAGATGCGATGAAGCACGAACATGGCACCGTACTGCAGCAAATCTGTAGCCACACTTCCTTTGGCCTGCTTTGCTCGGCTCCTGTCACCATGCCGTGAGCGCCATGAAGGCCGCCTTTTGCCATCAGAGCCACTCTTCGCTTTTCTACCGGGAAGGGGCGGCCTAGCCCTAGTCCCAGCGCTGGGATGCTGCGGAGCCCCAAGTCGCGATGAGCTCTCTGCGCACCTGGGGACAGTGCCCGAGCCTTTGGAGGCCACCAGTTAGTCCGTCCATGCGGAAGACACAGCCGAACCTTGGCGGGGGCCTTGTCACTTCATCCCTGCTCTCAGTACCTTGCCGTGATTTTGGTTCGCAGGTCTTGCAAAGTCGGCCAGTGAGCCCTCCGTGAGCAGTCTGTCCAGGACAGCTGTTGAGATCCCTCGCAGTGGCTGACAGATGAAATAGTTCAACTTCTTCTCCTCCTCCTGCGCTGATGTAATGGTGGTGTTACTGCTGGCATGTGCAGCAGCAGTCTCAGCTCCTTAGCTGAGAGTTCCTGCTCGAAAGGACGTTGCCCGCAACAGTGAAGGGCTCATTCCTTCCGCGGCAGATGGGCCATCCGACGATTGCTGCCCGCCAGCGACTGATCATCTCACTCACGATCTCTTGGGATGAGAAGCCGATACTTGTAGCATTGCAGCTGCGCTGCAGCAGCTCTCTCCTCTCTGAGCCTCCCTCTTTCAGGTCGAAACCTCGCGCAGCAGAGGAAGGCCGAGTCCTGGCTTCCCTCCCACTCTGCTCTGCCTCTGTTCTGCCGGGCCGCCTTTCTCTGGGTGCTGGGTGCAGGCTTTGATCAAGGAGACGCGCGACCTGGAAGACTGCAGCTTCTGGGGTGCCCAGGTGCCCTTTATGCGTAGCTTCTGCCTAGAAAACCACTTTGCTGAGAGGGCATTCCTGGCTTCGCAGCCCACTTGAAGTCGCGCTTCGGTTCCATCTTAGCTGCTTGGCGGCGCTGAGTGGCTGAGTGCTCGGCAGTCGGAGTGCGACTCTGCGAATTTCTGTCCTGCAAGGCTGGATGGCGACTGCTCGACTCGGAGAAGAAAGGGCGCCTGTCCTTCCATCCGCTCCCCGTCTAACCCCGCTGAACCGTGATTCCGCTATGACATCAGCGTAGCCGCAAGGTTTTGCAAGGCAGCGCGGAAATGGGGCTACCATGGCAATGTGAAGAAGCTGGGCTCCAAGACGAAGGGTCTCGTCGCAGCGATTGGTGTCCCAAGAACGCTTTTTTCGGGGCGTGCTGTGCTGGCGAGGCTCTGGACGGAGCTCGATCCGACCGGCAAGGGCTTCGTCACCTTAGCCGAATCCGGGCCGATCCATCTTCCTGCAATGAAACCAGTCATGGAGGTGGCACTACCTTGGCTCACCCCCTGCCCAACCGAGGACGTTGATCCCGATGCGGCGGCCTCGTGCTGTCGCGAAAGACAGCTCTGTGTCACGTGGCCACGGCACTCAGAAGAGCTGTGGCCACGACAGGTCTGGAAGATGGTCAGCTCTTTTAAGATCGCACTCATGCAGCGGTGCCCTTGCTCAAGCTTTGCCAAGCAAAGCTCTATGACTTTGCGCATCTTTGCGCATCAGGTACGGAGACATGCTGCTGGCATGGCAAGAGTCCATCGATGTGAATGGCGCAGGCGTGGGGTCGAAGCTTTCCTTGAAGGAATACTCAGAGCATCCAAATCGAATCCACAGGCAAAGTGTCCGAGAGTGAGATTGCGGACAGCCTCCAGGAGCTTGGTCGGCGGCTTAAGGCCTTCGAGTCAAGCCTGGGAATCTGAAATCAAGGGCGATCCGTACGTCCCATCAACGAAAAGCAGTGTCTTCTGCACGAGAATGTCTGCGGGATGCTGGCGGAATAGTTTTGTCAGCAATGAGACGAGGCGCCGCAGTCAGACTGAAATTGTCAATGGTGGCTTGTTGAACTAGTCTGAAGCCCGAAGCAAGCGAAGCCAAGATTTCAAGATGCCGGTCGTTTGGCCGGAGAAGCTAAGGTCTGGAAATGGATGCTAGACAGCTGTAGCCTGAGCTTGAAACGAGACCCAGTCGAAGCCTTCTTACGTGCATCTTTCGGCATACGACGGGTGATGGCCGGCATGCCGAGTATGGCTGTGCGACCAATGCATCGTTGAGGTTGCTCAAAATGTTCATAAGTATGCCGGGGGCGCCGGGGGCTGAGTTGAAAAAGCCATGCGCCGCCTCGTTGGGAGTGCAACAGGGAGGTGCCGTCGAAGCTTTAGCCCCCCCCGCAAGGACGCACATCACTCTCAAGGACTTTGACCCGAGAGCTTACGTTAGGCAGGATTGCCGCATGCTCTGAAACGGCCACGACTGCCATCCGATGCTCCAGAAGAAAAAAACCATCATCCGAGCCAGACGACAAGTGAAAGCCGTGCTTTAGACAGGGTATCGTGCAACGGAGTATGATGCTTGCAGGTGGCAGACTTCTGATGTTCCAGCTCTCTCCAAAGGACAGACGTATGTGTTTCGTTTCAGCATGAGCATAGCAGGTGTTGCTAGCTCCGCCAAATGATCCCAAGAGTTGACAGCTGCAAGTCGGTTGAAACCACTAGCCAAAGCATGTCTCTTGACTTGAATCAGTTCGATGTCGCCGGAAGGAGACGAGGCTGAGGAAGGAGCCGACACGCAGAAGGCGGCCGAAGAGCACTCAAGATTCTGAAAGACCTGTGAGAGACATCGTAGCGTGACGGCCGCAGATCACGTGATACTTACATGCAACTTGTTCAATGCAATGTGGGCATGATTGCTCTGCAAGCGTTCCTTGAAATCCCGACTCGGCAAGGAGGAACCAACAAAAGTACGTATGCTCTCCTGAGATCATCAATACAATCCTGGAATCGCACTTCGGATTGTTTTGAAATAAGAAGTTGCTTTGAAACAATCCGATGCCTCGACACACTCAGACCTGTCCCCCCAGGGCCGAGTGGGCACCGATCGCGGGCGCCTCGGGTCCCCTCCGGCGATCTTTAACAGTGGGGGTTGCCATAGGAAGTGACATGGGACGTGAAAGGACATGATTTTGATCTCGCACATCCCAAAAAACTCTGCTGTCGCAGCTTGTACTTGTACAATAGCAGTCTCTGGTTGTTCTAGCTCTCTTCCGTTGAGTGCGCACTGGCGCGCGTGAGCACGCGCGAGCTTAACCTGTATCTGACAAGAAGCCCTTCTGGTCCGCAGTGGATTCAAGCCGTCCTTGCCAGGGTCAGCACGAAGGAGGCGTTCCAAGCTGCGATGATCAGCCAGTTCGGAACCCTATTCCGCGCCTGGCGGGAGGCCGGAGAAGCCTGGATGACCTTCGTAAGGAGGGTTTCTTTCACCTTGACTTCAAACTCCAGGGCCTTGATCCGACTGGACGAGATCGCTTGAGTTGGGGTGAGTTCACCCATGTCTTCCGACTGCCGGGAACCCAGACATGAAGGGGGGGCTGGACTGATGCTTTAGATCTCTTTAGGCTTTAGGGTTTCCGTCTCCGGTAAGGCTGGGCCTCCACGGAGACCTGCAGGCCAGAGTAGTCATTGCCTGACAGCAGCCATCAGTGGATGCAAGTCGCGTGACAGTCGTTGTGGGACCAGCTCGACACAGAGGGCATCGGGGTGCTTCGCTTCTCCGATCTGGATGAGGTTCCGCAACTTTCAATTGATGGCTCCAGTGCTCCAGACTCCGTAAATGGTCTTCAGGCCACTGCCTCGATCTGGTCGGAGATGCGAGCTTGCTTCGAGCAGGCGCTGAAAAAATCGGATGTGTCTCCTGCCCAGGGCTTCGGGACTTGAGGGGCTTGTTACGATCTTTTCGTGAGTCTTTGGCGGACTGCAGTCTATGGAGTCTCAAGGTGTTGGCATTCAGGCTTCGCGGCCAAAGCCCTGAGAGGAGTATGGCAACATGCTCCGTGCCTGGATGACAGGGGTGGATGCCCGCGCCTGGGAGAAGCCCTTCTATAACTCATTTCCTTTGGTGGCGGTCCCGCTGCAAAGGTCGAGGGGGTGGGCCATGTAGACGAGGACCAGTTCATTGCAGCGTGCAAGAAGGCGACAAACGGGGATGCTACTAAGCGCTTAGCTCAATGCCTGGTGGCCCTAAGGCTGGCTTCCTGAACGAGACTGGAGCTCAAGATCTCTTTCACATCCTGAGGCACTTGTGCTTGAAATCGTCTGCACAGCATTGACAAGAATGTGCAGGCAATCATGTGATGTTCATGTATGTGTAATATGCATGGCACTCTGTGGCCTGTGTGCATGTATCCGCCGTATGTATGTGTAAGTGCAGGGGGTAGGCCATACACATCTCGCATAAATTGCTCTGCTGTGGTTGTGTTTTTTTCGGGCCTGTTGGAGTTGCAGCTCCAGAGGCCACCAGGATGCGGATCCTTTTTGAGCCTGCGGGACTTCGACCGCAAAGCCTTCAAGGTGCCAAGCGATGCTTGGGTTTGCTCAGACGCCATGGCTCTCTTTCAGGTTTGGGGTTTAGGGCCTAGGGGGTTTAGGGGTCGAGGTGTGGCAGTGTTTTTTCTGGATACCATGGTGCATGAGCCCCAGTGAGCTGCAAACCACAATCCAAAGCACGTCCACAGATTGGAGTGTTTGGGGTGCCGTTGAAAATGCCTGGCTTGTGATAGGGCAGTTTTCAGATCAACATGCTGTCGATTGCCGTGAGATATGTTTCGCTTGGAAGGGTAAACACCACTTTCGGCTGCAAGAATCTCGAGACCGGTTGCATTGACTGTTCTGATCCTGATAGCTTGTCTTCGCAATGGCCAGGCGTTTCTTCGTAACGACTTCCGGATGCTCAGCGTCGCTGCCTGAGGGTTTCGTCCACGGCTTTTGCGGCCTTTATCATGCACTGTGACAGATGCAGGAGCCAACCAAGAAACCAGGACAAAGATTGCAGCGACTGTTGCTCAACACGTTTGATGTTGGAGCACACTGGTGTAAGGGGCATGCTTCTACATGCATATTTCCAGAGCCATGTTCGGGCACCCAAATGTTGTGTAGCACACGTGTGTGCGTAGGTACAAGCTCTAGCGGGCGACCGGCGCAGCTATCGCCGGCTCGACCGCTTTCTGTCTTCCCCTTTGCTCCCTTCGCCCCGCCGTGACCATGGCTTCTCGTCCGGCCTCGCCTGGCGCCGCTGCTGAGGCCTACGCCGCATTTGCGGCTATGGCTGGCCTCGACCTGGTGGCTACTTCGTCACCGGCGCCTACGGCCACTTCCTTGGACGACACGCCTGTCTTGGGCGTTGGGAGCGTCGCCGGGCCGCCTGCGTCGGGCGAGCCTTCGGCGACGGCATTGCCTTCGTCTGGCGGTGCCTTGGATGGGGATTTTGCCGTGCCGCCCACGTCGGGCGAGCCGGCTTTGGTCGATCCGACGACAGGTGAGGAGGACCTCGCGCCGCCTGTCATGGGCGTGCCCTCTTCCAGCGAGGATGAGGAAGAGCTCCT